TTTTTTCATGTGTTTTTTGGCCATTTGAATTTCTTCTTTTGTTCTTTCTTTTTTTTTTTTTTTTTTTTGGTGGGACTGAGGTTTGAACCCAAGGCTTACATTGCCCATTTCTTTATTGGATCATTGATTTTGGGTGAGTTTAGTTTTTGAGTTCCCTGTATATTCTTGTTATCAGTCCTTTGTCTGATGTGTAGCTGGCAAAATATTTTCTCCCACTCTGTGGGTGTTCTCTTCAGTTAGAGACCATTTCTTTTGATGAGCAGAAGCTTTTTTCATTTCATGTAGTCCCATTTGTCCATCTTCTCTCTTAGTTTGCTGAGCTGCTGTGTTCTACTACTTAGGAAGTCCTTGTCTATACCGATTACTTCCAGAGTATTCCCCTGCTCTTTTTCCTGACTAACTTCAGAGTTTCAGGTTCTGATATTAAGGTTCTGGATCCATTTTGAGTTGATACTAGTACAGGGTGATAAACATGGATCTAATTTCAGTTTTTTGCAGGCAGGTAACCACTTTTCCCAAAACGTTTGTTGAAGAGGCTGTCTTTTCTCCATTGTATGTCTCTGGTGCCTTTTGTCAAAAATAAGGTGGACGTAGCTGTGCAGGTTCATATTCGATTCTCTACTCTGTTCCACTGGTCTTCATGTCTGTTTTTGTGCCAGTACCATGCTATTTATATTGCTATTGCTTTGTAATATAGTTTGAAGTTGGGTATTGTGATACCTCCAGCATTGCTCTTTTTGCTGAGTATTACCTTGGCTATTTGTGGTCTCTTGAGTTTCTAAATGAATTTTAGGGTAGATTTTTCAATCTCTGTGATGAGTGTCCTTGGATTTTGATGGGAATTGCATTAACATGTAGATTGCTTTTGGTAGTATAGCCATTTTTACTATGTTGATTCTACCAGTCCATAATCATGGGAGATGTTCTATCTTCTGTAGTGTTCCTCTCTCTCTTCCTTCAGGGGTTTGTAGTTCTCCTTGTAGAGGTCATTCACATCCTGTGTTAAGTCTACTCCAGGTATTTGATTTCTTTTGAGGCTATTGTAAATGGAATTGTTTCCATATATTCTTTCTCAATTTGTTTGTTGTTGGTGTGTAGAAAAGCTAATGAGTTTTGTAAGTTGATTTTGTATCCTGCCACCTTGCTGTAGCTGTTTATGGTGTCTGGGAGTTTTTGGGTAGAGTTTTTTGGGTCTTTGAGGTATAGGATTGTGTTGTCTGCAAATAGGGATATTTTGACAGTGTCTTTACCTATTTGTATTCCTTTTATTTCTTCTTCTTGCCTAATTGCTGTGGCTAGGAATTCCAGGACTGTGTTGAAAAGGAGTGGGGAGAGTGGGCACCCTTGTGTCATTCGTGATTTTAGGGGAAATGGTTTCAGTTTTTCTCCATGAAGTAGGATGTTGGCTGTAGGTTTGTCATATGTAGCCTGTACAGTGTTGAGGTCCATTCCTTCCATTCTTAGTTTTCTTAAGAGCTTTTATCATGCAGTGGTGTTGGATCTTATCAGAGACTTTTTCTACATCTGTTGAGGTGATCAAATGGTTTTTGTCTTTGCTTCTATTAATGTGCTGTATTACATTTATAGATTTGTGTATGTTGAACCACCCCTTGATCCCTGGGATGAAGCCGACTTGGTCGTGGTGAATGATCTTTCTGATACGTTGTTGGATTCAGTTTGCCATTATTTTGTTGAGGATGTTTGCATCGGTGTTTATTCAGGAGGTTGGCCCATAGTTCTTCTTTTTTGGAGGTGTATTTGTCTGGTTTTGGGAAGAGTGTAATACTAGCTTCATAAAAGAAGTTAGACAATGCTCTTTCCCTTTCTATTTCATGGAAGAGTTTAAGGAGAGTTGGTATTATTTCTTTTTTAAATGTCTGATAGAATTCAGCAGAGAATCCATCAGGTCCTAGACTTTTCTTTTTTGGGAGACTCTTTATTGCTGCTTCAATTTCATTTTGTGTTACAGATCTTTTCAAGTGATTAATATCCTCTTGGTTCAATTTTGCAATGTCATAAGGATGTAGAAATTTGTGCACTTCATCAAGATTTTCAAATTTTTTGGAATATAGGTTCTCAAAGTAGTCTCTGATGATTTCCTGGATTTCCATCGTGTTTGTTGTTATTTCCCCTTTTGCATTTCTGATTTTACTGATTTGGGTTTTTTCTTTCCTCATTTTAGTCAGGTGCCAGTGGTCTGTTTATCGTGTTTATTTTTTCAAAGAACCAGCTTTTTGTTTTTTTTGATTCTTTGTATGGTTTTTCTTGTTTCTATTTCATTAATTCTGGCCCTTATTTTTATTATTTTTCTCCTTCTGCTTATTTTGGGTTTTGCTTGTTCTTGTTTTTCAATGAGTTTTAGATGTAGCATTAGGTCATTGATTTGAGATCTTTCTGTCCTTTTAATATATACACTCATGGCTATAAACTTTCCTTTAGGACTTCCTTTGCTGTGTCCCATATGATGTGGTTGGTCTTATTTTCATTTTTAATAACTACCAGGAACATGTTAATTTCCTCTTTTATTTCATTGATGACCACTTGATCATTGAGCAATGTGTTGTTCAGCTTGCAATTGTTTGCATGTTTTCTGCTGCTGTTTTTGTTGTTGAGTTCTAGTTTTAATGCATTGTGATTAGATAGAATGCTTGGGATTATTTCTAGTTTCTTATATTTGCTGAGGCCACTTTGTGCCCTGAGATATGATCCATTTTGGAGAAAGTTCCATGGGGTGCTGAGAAGAATGTATATTATGCAGAAGTTGGTTGAAATACTCTTGTAGACATCAACTAGGTCCATTTGATCTATGGTGTGACTTAGTTCTAGAATTTCTTTATTGATTTTTTTGTTTTGATGACCTATTTATTGGTGATGGGGGTATTAAATTCTACTGCTACTACTGTGTTCGAGTCTATATGTGCTTTGAGGTCCTTCAGAGTATGTTTGAGATTGGATGCACTGACGTTGGGTGCATATAGGTTGCTAATTGTTATTTCCTTTTGGTGTATTTTTCCTTAGTATGGAGTGTCCTTTATCTCGTTTGATCAATGTGAATTTGAAGTCTTCTTTGTCTGAGATAAGTATTGCTACTCCTGCCTGTTTTCTGGGGGCCACTGGTTTGGTAAATCTTCTTCTAGCCTTTCACCCTAAGCCAGTGCTTGTTTCTGTCAGTGAGATGGGTCTTGTGTAGACAACAGATTGTTGGATCTTCCTTTTTAATCCAGTTTGCCAGATGGTGTCTTTTGATGGGTGAGTTAAGTCTGTTATCATTCACTGTTAATATTGATAGGTATCTGGTGATTCCTGTCATTTAGTTGTTCTTGTTGTTTAAGGGTTTGATCTTGTCCAGCTGAATCAGTGTTACTTTCTGATTTCTTGTCTTCTCCTGTATTTTGGTGCTGCCTGTCCTCTCATGGTTTTGTATGCTTTTCATTTTCTGTGCGCATGTTGTGATGGTTTGCTGTTCATTTTTCAAATTTGCAGGGCCATTTGACTTTGGATGTTACTTACTGGCTCAGGAGATGAGTTTTGTGGATTGCTACCTGCCCTATTTTAGGCAGTGGCTTATCACCTGCCCCCTGTTGGCCCTCCTGCCTTTCCAGCCTTTGTTTACTGAAACTTCAGGCGGATATTAGCTCCTTGCCCCTCCCTCCTTCTCCCTGTGAGCTTTCAGTTTTCTTCTGCCTCTGCTGTGTGCTATTTTTCAGTTCTTTGTTTATTCAGTTTTTTTTTCCCCCCAGGGATTCAGTCTGCCCAGGGGACTATGCTGGTTTACCCTGGGGGTGCCTGGGGACATACCATATGATGCTTGGTGCTCACCTGTTTGGTCTGCTCAATGTCTCCCAAGCAGGTTTGGAGCTGGTGTCTGGTGGTGGCAGCTCTCCTGTTTTCTCAGTGTAATGTGGCATGGAGAAGTTTTCTACCAGCTAGGGGTTCAGGGTGTCGAAGTGTTGATTCTCTTTGCTGGTAATATTTCCACATTCTGGAAGTGGGAACACAAATGTTGTATAACCTGGAAATGTTACACATCAAAAAGTTGTGTAATATATTTTCAGGTACTGTAACTAAGTTATTAACTATGGAGTTTCTGATTTTGAGCAGCTTGGCTTCTTAGTAACTAAATCAGGATGAATTAATTTTAGATCATGTCTCTTTGTCGCAAAAATTATTTGGTACATGCTATTTAAGAATATCATAAATATAGCTGGGTACCAATGGCTCATGCCTGTAATCCTAGGTGCTTGGAAGGCTGAGATCCTTCAGGTCTCAGTTTGAGGCCAGACTCATAGCTCATGAGACCCCATCTCAAAAAATCAAAAACAACAACAATAAAAAAAATCAGAACAAAATGGATTAGAGGTGAGACCCAAGCAGTAGAGTGCCTGCTTTATGAGTGTGAAGCTTTGAGTTCAAAACCAGAGTCCCATAAAAAAAAAAAAAGAATGTCATAAGTAATATACAGTTTTTCCCTTTTAGGGTTTAATAGTTGAATAGAGAAAATATGTATACACATACATAAAAAATGACAGTTGTAACATAAAGCCAAGAGAAGTGGTAGAGGCAGCTTTCCTTAGTGTTTATATATAGGATGGGGACATTAAAGAAGAGGATATCAGGGAAGGGGCAGTTATAATATTCCTGAACAAGAAGGGAGAATAGGCAAAAGTATTCTGAGCAGAAAAAAAGAACATGATGAGCAAAGTCAGTGAAAATTCATAGCATTTTCATCTGTTTCTGTGGGCATACATGGATGTGTTTGGAAGAATGGGATTTATGGTGATAGAGAGAGAGAGAGAGATAATGGATAAGAAGTTCTGGCTAGGTTGGCTAGTAATGTCCTATTTTAAAGCCATCTAGTATTTTATCTTAAAGGTTCTCAACTCTAAGGTGACCTTCCATTTTCAGATGCTTGTGGAATAGACCTGGATTATTATTATATTTTTGAACAGAGACCCAGAGAGTATCTAAATATGGATTGATCAATGCTATCAGATGTTTGCCATGTCCCTGTAGCTTGCTTAGAGCCAAGTTATGAGGAATTATAGAGATAGTGTACCATTTATTCTGTTGGTCCTGAATTACATAGTTTGGTATTGTACTTTTAATAAGGAAGCATAATAGTCTTCTACAGAAGTAGTTCTTTTTAGATATTTAATTCTTTTATTTTGGTGAACTTATGTATGCATTTTGATTTGTAGATCAGTATTATAATGAAACTAAGGAAATATTAAAATAAATGTAAAAATCCATCAGTAGTGTTGGTGCATACTGTATTATGTTTCTATTACTTTGGATTATACATTTTCTCAAGTGTTATCTTTTACTTTGTTTTGAAGATGATGAAAACTGATGAACTCTTAAATGGTTTTTATGAGTTCCCTATTGATGACAGGTTTTCAGAAATAGGAAAACTAATATTAATCATGCTTACTGACTTCTTAGAAGCATTTATTTTTGTTTGTAATATTTGTGTTGAGCAGTAATGGCAAGGAGTAATGTATATTATAAGCTTGAATATTTTGATGTTTAAAATTTGTTTTGGAAGTCTGATTCAACTTTAAACCTATTAATATTTCATATGTTTATTTTATAGTATATGATAACTGGCAGTCTAAAAGCTGCTAATAGTTTTCATATACAAGAGAAAACCTTGAACCAGAATTGTGTTGTATTTCTTTCATATTTGTATCTATTGGGAATGAATGAAGTTGTTTTATCATTTTTGTTTGTTTTGTTTTGTTTGGTTTTACTGGGGATTGAATCTAAGGCCTTGTCCATATTAGACAAGTGCTCTAACACTGAGCTACATCCCTATCCCAAAGGAATAATTTTTTGCAAACATGTTATGGTTGAATAGATTTAAATAAGATTTCTTCAAGAGAGGCTTAAAGTATAGGTGTTGGTACTGTGAGCTTCTGACAGAAATTGATTTCATTTTGTTCAGTAAAGTTGTATTCAATGAATATATAAGTATTATTTTTTAAAAATAGCTAATCTTTTAATAGCTTTTTATAGGGGACATACATTTGAGTTAAGGGAAAAGCTTTTATCTTTATTTCCCATTGTTTTAAATATTGTTTTACACTTAGCTAGTTTTATTTGTTTTCAGTGGCATTTCTCAGTTATACATCCATATATAAGCTTCTTATGTGGAAAATTTGTGAGATTATGGTATATGAAATCAGAAGAAAATTTTGAAGCTATAAAGGAAAAGAAAGCTCACCTGTTACTTTCTGTTGTTTTTAGTTTTTAAAAACCATTACTTCTATTTCACTTTCTATTCCCATGTTTTGATTTTGTTTTATCCAGTCTCTCTCTATACATTTACTTCTGCAACAAATGTATTTATCTTTAAATCTTTAACTCTTCCTTCTTTCATTCATATTATCCAATCTACTCTTTTTCAGTATTGAATGTTAGTAAGTGAATATAGTTGAATCCATTAATATGTTCATTTTTCTCCCATTTTTATTCCCTCAGGCATAATTTTTAGATTTTTTTTTTTATGGATAAAGGAGAAAGAGAATGATGGTAGCTGGTTAAAGAAGGTTAAAAAAGCTCATCTTTTAATGTATTGTATAGCCAGCATAAAATAACATTGTTGCTATCTCTCTCTCTATCAATCATCTATACATCATCTATCTATCACCTATCTTTCATCTATCATCTATCTACCTACCTACTAATCTATTTATTTTTTGAGTTGGTTTCTCCCTGGTCTCAAATTCATGATCCTCCTGTTTCAGCCTTCTGAGTAGCTGTGCGTATAAGTGTGGGCTACTGCGTCTGGCTGTTTGATTTAAAGAAATGTTTGTAAAAGTTTTTTTTTGTTGGAATGGACCATCTGCTGCTTATCAGCTGTGTCACTCTGGCACATCTTTTAACCTATCCAAACTTTAGGTTCCTCTTTGCAAAATATGCTAAAAATACCCACCTCTCACATATATTAAGTTCAATAGCATTTTAAGAAATATTTATTGGTAGACTTGTGGCTAATTGAACCCTTTTTTCTGCTCTATAGGATACGTGCAGAGTCTGATTAGACGGGTGGTAAATAATGTAAACATTGTTATAAATAATCTCATATTAAAGTATGTTGAAGATGATATTGTTCTTTCAGTCAACATTACATCTGCAGAATGCTATACAGTGGGTGAATTATGGGATCGTGCGTTCATGGATATTTCTGGTGAGTAAATATCAAGAGGATAGTTTGTATTTTTCCATAAGTAAAATGATTGCCTTGATTTCTTAACACTTTTTTTGACCACTGGCTTTTATGGTAAATCTAATGAAAGCTTTATAACTATAGTGTTTGAAAAGTGTTCATATGTAAAATTTACAGCAGGTTAATACAAGCCTAGATTTAAAAAACTCCACATTTTTAGCTAGGTGCTGGTAGCTCATGCCTGTAATCCTGGCGACTCAGGAGGCAGAGATCATGAGGCTCACAATTTAAGGCTAGCCTGGGCAAATAGTTCGAGAGACCCTATCTTGAAAAAACTTATCACAAAAAAGGACTTATGAAGTGACTCAAGGTGTAGACCCTGAGTTCAAACCCTAATAATGAAAAAAATAAGCAACCTAATAAATACATTCTTGTTTCTTTCTTTTTCTTTTTGTTGGTGTGGGAGTACCATGCTTGCTAGGCAGTCTCTCTACCACTTGAACCATACCTCCAGCCCAAGATTCTTAATTTTCATTCCTTCTTACCTATCATGTGCTAATTGCAAATATGATGTAAATATTTTACAATGTCATGGGTTGTATTAATAAAAATTAAATGATAATCATTTTAAAATTTTAATGTTTTTGAAGGGAGAAAGGGAGCATATTGCTTTTACATAGTTTATTAATGTTAATATATCTGATTTATGTTTTAGTCTTGCATATTCTAGAGCACAATTGGAAATTTTTTGATTACCTGAAGCCTCTTTTAACTGTTGCTTGCTACATTCTTCTACTTATCTTAAAAGAACTATTAAGTGAAAATATAATTTTAATAATTATTATTTATTCCTCTTATGTTCTGTATGGTAGGCAGTATGCAAAGTATTGAAAATATAGCTGTGAATGAGAGATACTACTTCAGTTTGTCAGGGGAGATGCTAATAAGTAAAAAATTTGTTGGAAAATGTTCTGATAGGGTAAGGAATGGTTTTTTTTAGGGGGGGCAAGTAAAGACTATGGTGAGTGCCTTTTATGTGTGACTTGCCATGGTGTGTATTTGTTTATGGTATTATTAGCACCAATTTTGAATTCTGCCTGTACCACTTAGTAGTGTATGACCTTGGGTGAATTATGTCTGTTTCTGAGTTTCCTCATTAGTAAAACAAGACTAACATAAGTCCTTTCTTATAGATTTATTTTTATTAAATGAGTTAATGCACTGACTTATGAAGTATAACGTTAGTGCTAAAAATGAGTTGCTATTGTTTAATATTCATTTTTCTAATTCTCCTAATTCCATCTATGGAATACTTAGTATACTTAATTCTTACTCATTTACTTGTACATTCATGTATTCATCTGATCTTGCGCACAGATACATGAGCACATTAGCAGTAATGATAATTCTGCTAGTATGGAGCACTAGTGGTGGAGGGAAGAGTCAAATCAAGATTTTTCAAATCCTAGTTCAGGACTCTTTCTAATTCGCTATAAATTTCCAAAGTAACATTTGCATAATTTCTGTATTAAAACTAAAAGTTACAAGATCAGGATTAATCTGCATTTTCAAAATATGAAGACTGAACCTTCGAAAACAGACAAAAATCAATGTATATTTCTGTTCTGCTAGTTTCATGACTTAACTAGACAGGTACTTGAAACTTAATTTTACTTTGCTCTAGACCTTTAACTAAGACTTAATAAAATGAATGTACAAGCAAATGAGTAAGAAATAATAATAGCAGCAAATAAGATTCATGGAGCAGTTAAGAATATGATGTTAGTGTTGTTTTACAGTGCTATTATTTTTATTAGTATTTTTACTAATAAATAATAGTTGCCTTTTCCTCTGATTTTCCTTTTAACCTAAAATGTTTTTCTTTTCTTTTTAGCAACTGATCTTGTGTTAAGAAAGGTTATCAATTTTTCTGACTGTACAGTTTGTCTTGATAAACGAAATGCCAGTGGTAAAATAGAATTTTACCAGGATCCTTTATTATACAAATGTTCCTTTAGAACCCGCCTGCATTTTACATATGATAACCTGAATTCCAAGATGCCATCCATTATTAAAGTAGGTGTCTCCCTTTTTCTAGTAAAGTTGCATGTCTATTTTGTTTATTGACTCTTGGGTGTGCTAATTATAACAAAAAAAAATCAAAGAAATTAACCTCGTAAATACATATGCTGTTTATTTTATAAAACAACTTTAAATGTACTTATAATTTTTATGCTTATATTTATAATTATTTATATAATGCATCCTACTACACATATTTTGGACATAACTTTTTGTAACAATAATTTCCTTTTTAAGTTTGTGTAGCTGTTTTTTCAGTGTTTCTTTAACTAGACAGAAGAGTTGTTATTAGAAAGTAGCATGAGGCACTGGGTTCAATCTCCAGGCCCACTCTCAAAAAAAAAAAAAGTGTTTATACCTTTTAGTTGACTGGTTATCAGTAATCTATATTTTTAATCCTCGTTATATCCAGTATGATCTGACTAGTTGTTTTCTCTTTCTTACGTAATTTTATAAGGCTTGATGTGCTTATCTAAAGAAGTTTTACCTTTTGAAGCTTGTTCGTGGTAGTGCATGGATCCCCACACTAGGGAGGCTTGAGGCATGAGGATTCCAAGATGAAGGCTACCTGGCCTACATAGTGAGACCTTGTCTCACAACAAAACAAAATAAAACAAACAAACGGGAACAACTAAAAGAAGTGTTAGTTTTGTTCCATGGTTTTAAAATGTAAATAAAATTTTAGCATATGAGAGTTTTCCAAGACAAGTCCTTGATACAGGTGAAAATTTTGTTCTCTAAGGTAGTGGTATACATTTCCAATATATATACTTTATATGTAAGCATAAATCCTGTCACCATTTGTTACTTAACAGTTTTCTTAACATTATCTGTCTCTCTTTTTCTTGGAAGAATTCACACAAAGACTTGTTACTTTATTAACTAAGTTTTAATGTGTAATAAATTTTTATTATTGAATTACTTGCCTTTGATACCACATTTCTATGATAGAAGGACTTGTCCTAAGTCTGACAGTGGCATTTTATATTTGAATGTGGCTATATAAAAATTAGGTTTTTTTTAACATTTTGTTTTATTAAAATGTATTATTTTTTGTAACTTTGCCATATTTTATATTTGTACATAAAATTGACTTGTTTTCTTGATAATTTGTATTTTACTTTCCAGTGCATATAATGCATACTTACTTGTTTTTTAACTGTACTGGGATTTGAAATCAGGGGCATGTACTGGCTAGGCAGGTGCTTTATCACTTTAGCTATGCCCCACCCTTTTTTTGCTTTAGTTATTTTTTTAGGTAGAGTCTCACATTTTTGCCCAGGACTGACTTCAGACCACAGTTGTCCTATCTGTGGTCTCTGCATAGTTGGGAACACAGGCACATGCCACTATGCTCAGCTTGCAAGCTTCTTTCTTTCCTTATTTATTTATCTAGGCGGTACTGGGGGTTTGAACCCAGGGCCTTGTGTTTTCTTGGCAGGTGTTCTACCACTTGAGCCACTCCGCCAACCCTTTTTGTGTTTTGAGATAAGGTCTCCTTTTATGTGTGGGCTGACCTGACCACAGTCCTCCTGTTTGTGCATCCCTACATATCTGGGATGACAGGCATGTACTGTCATTCCCAGCCATTGGTGATGATGGGGTCTTGAGAACTTTTTTTCCTAGGCTGTCCTCTATACATGATCTCTACTTCCCTAAGTAGCTGGATTATAGACGTGAGCCTTGAGTTAATTTCTTTGGAAAGATAAGCATGCAAACCTTTTAATACAATGATATTTATATCCCTTGTCTCTGGAAAATGAGCATTATTTTCTTAAATCTTAGATCTACACTAAATTTGGGGAATGTGAAGATAAATTTAAAAAGTATATACTAATGAGGCAAGGTCTTGCTATGTAGCAAGGCTAGCTTGGAATTTACTATGTAGCCCAGGCTGGCCTTGCACTTGCAATCTTCCTGTCTCAGCCTTTCCATCACAGTTATGTGCCACCATGCCTTGGCTCAAAACATGTTTTGTTTCATTTTTCTGTGTTTTGAGACAGGGTCTCACAATGTAACCTAGGCTGTCCATGAACAAACTATGTATCCTAGGGTGACCTCAAGCTCATGATCCTTTGCTTCAGCCTCCTGACTGCTGGGATTAAATGCATGAACCACTATATCTGGCACCAAATATAGTTTGAAAGCAAGTAAAGAACGCATGGAATTAAGGATATAATGTAATTTTAGTGCAAATTTAATTGTCCATTCTAGGATTTGACTAAATTAGAGGAAAATATTAAAATAAATCAACAAAGAAAAACTTAGTATTGGCAGGCATGTAAGTAAATATTGTCTCAAAATTGATTAGCCATGACATTTCATTGTAAAAATGTGTCTTAACATAAATAAGCTTGTTGGTATGTAGTTTTTGACCGTCTAAACTACCACATATACCATTATGTTATGCTCAACTGAAATAATTTTTTAAAGTTTTTTAAAATTAATATTGTGATACAAAATTTGCCATTTTGAGTTAGATCCATCATTCTTCCAATTCTGGTTCTAGGAAATATGTGTTAAATGGGTGTGGTTAACCTTGATTACCTCAAACACAGGGTTTTCCCCAAAATGTTCCAGATACCTTATTTTTTTTTTTTTAAGAAAACTTTCACATATGCTTGTTTAAGTGACTTTTGAATTTATTTATTTATATTGTAATTAAGATTTTATAATTTTTTAATCTTTTGTATGTAAGATGTCCTAGAGATAATAAAACTTATGAGAAATCAATCACGTGGATACATAATTAATATAATTGTTTCCTTATTTTTTAAAGTGTGCATTTTTTCAGGGGAAGGAAAGTCTGTATGTAAAACATTGAACACATCTTTGGTTAATTACTTAGGAAAGACTTTTATTGCTGTAAATATCTTATTAATGAGTTTCAACTTAAGACTGGTAATCTTTGTTGCAAAATTGTTTCCAGGAAAGTTTAAGCAGCATGTACACCATGTCTATTGAGAGGAGTGCCTATATTATATTCTTGCTAGCCTTAAATATCAAATTTTTAAAAACTGTGAGCTTGTTGAGCATAAAAAACATCTAACTGACATTTATTAGTGAGTTAGATATTTGAAGATATTTTCAAGTGGCTATTTAATTGTTGAACTATTCATTCAGGTTCTTTTTCCATTTTTCTGTTGATTTATTTAAAATTGATTTTTTTCTGTTGATCCAAGCTTGATCTTTTTTTTTTTTCTTTTATTGTTGTGATGAGTGGGGTTACATTGTGGCATTTACACAAGTTCTTATAATGTATCAAATATATCATACATGAATTCACTGCCTCCTCCATTCTCCTTCCCCCCACCAATTCCTGAAGTAGTTTCAACAGGTATCATTTTTGCATTTACTTACATGTGTACACATTTTATTTCACCGTATTCACCCTCCTTCCCAACTTTCCTCAACACCTCTCCCCCTCACTGGTGCCAGCCCTCCCTCCTGGGCAGGACTTGTTCTGCCCTCCTGTTCTCTGATTTTCTAGGAGAGAAACAAGAAAAGATGAAATGATAAACATGATATTTTAGCTTGTGATAAAAGTAACTATGCAGGGAGTTTCCTTGTGATATTTCCATTGGTTTATCTCTTCTAATTCTCTTTATTAGAATTAGAACTAGAAAGGAACCTTAGTTCCTTTCTTATGGTAGTTTCAGTCAGTTTAAGATTTCTGTATTTATTCCTGTATAGTGAGTATAAAGAATTTTTGATATGCATAATAAGGATGGGTTCTTTGTCTATCATTGGTTTTGCTAAGATTGCTTATCATTGGTGTTATTGGCACAATATAGTATTTGAAAGGATGTGGCACAGAAATCTCAAGATTTCTTGAATGTATAAGCCAGCTGTGGTGGTGTCTAGTACCATTTGCAGTCCCAACTCCTGCTTGAGGCAGGAGGATCATGAGTTCCAGGCCAGCCTGGGCCATATGGTGATACTCTGTCTCAAAACAAACAAACAAATACAAATAGATAAACAAGTCTCAAAGCTTAACATTTCTACTTACTCCTCTGCTCTTGTCCCCATTTTCTTACTTCTTTCAGGCTTATTCAGTGGGTGATTTTTTTTAGGTCAGTTTAAAATCTGTGGATGTATTTGAAATCTAATATTTAATTCCCCTCCCATATACTTTTTCTTCCCTTGCTAAATACAACATTTTTGTGTCTTAAGTCCTAAAAAATATGATTACCATTATTTCTTTTCCATTTTTCATATATACTTAAATACCATTTCATCAAAATAAACCTTCTAAGAGACTTGACTTTATGGCTTAATTGGTTTTATTCCATGTTTATATAGGAAACCATTACACTAAAGCTGTGTTTAGTTTCCATTGATGTCTCTTTTATTAAGGAGAACCTTGAATGCTATCCATCCTATTTTGTAGTTATCAATCTTATTTTTTTCTTTTAACTGATTCATGTGATAAATTTTATGTCATGTTTAAATATATTTAAAATTTGTCTAAAAACTTTCTTGAATATATTTAATTTGCTTTTATGTATTTGACAGTAAATTTTTTATTATTTCCATACTTCAACAGTTATAATATTAGTTTTTTGCCAATGTGGTTTTAGGATGCTTATTTATTCTTTTAGGTTAATAAAACTGATAATAGTGATTAAAGTTATACTAGAATGATATTACGAAGCTTTTGTTATTCTTGGGTTTGAGAAAGATCTTTCTGTTATTTTGAAAGAGAAGCACTATCATTCTTTAGTTACATAACTTTTGGTTACATAGTTTTTCTTTTGGATTAGTTATCTGGAAATCTAATGTGAATATATCTTCTGAGTGTGAATTCTATTTGTATATACATAATTTGGCTTTATTTAGATTTTGTCTAAAGTTTTTTGATCATCACAGCAAAATTATCTACTTATCTTAAAGGTTATTGCCCTTAAAAATGTTTTTGTTTTTTCAAAATACAGATTCATACCTTAGTGGAGAGTTTGAAACTTTCTATCACAGATCAACAACTACCTATGTTTATCCGTATAATGCAGCTTGGGATTGCTCTTTACTATGGTGAAATAGGCAGTTTTAAAGATGGTGAAATAGAAGACCCTATTTGTCACAGTAAAGATATGTTAGGAAACATTGCAGGTAAGTATAACCAAAACTTAATTTAGAACTATACATCTTACAAAGTGTTTTAAAGTTTCCCAATGGAAACTTTAAAAAATGGAATAGATTGAGTTAAGCACTGTTTTCATGTGATCAAATGATTGTATTTTGGTTGTTTTGCTCTAGTTTGATTTTTATCTACATGCTGAATGTTATTTTGATTTTCGTATTTCAGTGTACTAAAATAATATTTCTAATAGATACATGTGTTCAGAATGTATATTTACTAAAAGTCAAAGTTTTACAAACTCAGGATATCCTGGTAAATGAATGTATTGGTAATTTTTCTGTAAAAGCTCACCAAGAGTTATTTAATTGAGCTCTTTTTAAAGTTAATTCATTTTGCTACAATTTTACTAAAGCTTGTGTATAAGAAGACATCATTGGTAATGTGGAAAAATACTAAGATAAATTAGATGTGTTCTCTTAAAATCTTAGGCTCAAATAATAAATAACTATGAACAGAACTATGATGTACTACATATTGGTAGAATGTTTCATAAACAAAGTTATGACTGCTCTGAAGTGGAAAAATGACAAAAAGTAATTTTTGACTAGGTATTGGTCTTGTGTCTCAGAAACAGTTTTAAGAAGATAATTTATTGCCATAGATGGAACCTTAAGAGAAGAGCATTAGGACACATAACTCAGTTTACAAATGGGCAAATATACATTTCTACAAAGGTAAAACAAATGGCCAATTACCACACGAAAAGATACTCATCATTAGTTATGAGAGGAATGCAAATTAAAACTTCCAAGAGTTCACAGCCATTAGGATTATTATAATAAAAAAGTCACATAATAAGTGTTGTTCAGGATGTAGAGAAATTGAAACCCATCTATGTTGCTTGTGGAGAAAATGTAAAATTATGTACCCATTTTTGGAAAACAATTTGGCACCTTTTTAAAAACTTGAGTGTACTATTGTTATATGACCCAGCATTTCTACTCCTACATATATATCAAGAGATCTAACATGTAGACATAAAAAATTAAACATGAGTGTTCCTAACAGCATTATTTGTAATAGTCCCAAATTGAAAAGAGAAAAAAAAAAAAAAAACCAAATGTCTACCAGATGTTGAATGGCTAAACAGTTGTTTATATAGGCACACTGGAATATTATTCAGCCATGCAATGAATGGTCTGGTATGTCTTACTACATAAATGAATATTGAAAATGTTAATGTTATCTTAAGCAATAGTAGCCAGTCAGATTGTATGAATTGTCCAGAATAGGCAGTTCTGTAGAGGCAGAATGTAACCAGGGAGAACAATTGCAATTAGGTGGGTTTCCTATGATGATAATGTCCTAAAATTAGATAGTGGTTCTGGTTGTTCAACTTTATTTCTATACTAAAATCCACTGAATTGTATGTGTTCCAAGTGTGAATTTTATGGCATTTAAACTTTATCTCTTTAGTTTTTGAAGTGAAAGTTACAAAGTGAAATGTATAAATCTTAAATATACTTACATATATTTGTAACTCAGACTGACTTCGAATTTGAGGTTCTCTTGGCTCTGCTTCTCCAATGTTGGGATTATATGTATGAAACACTATCCTTGGCTCTGTTCATTGAGTTTTGAGAAATGCATACATTTGTGTGATGTAAAACACCAATATATAGTTCATTAACACCTTAAAAGCTCCTTTTACTCTTAGTTTTAGTAATTTACCCTCTACCTACCTGCCTCTACTCTGTAAACTGTTCTGATTTTTTTTTTTGCAAAATAGATTAGTTTTGTTCATTCTAGAATTTCATATAAATAGAATTATACAGTACTAGTACATTAGTACAACATTTCTTTTGTGAAAGGTTTCCTTCATTCAGTCTAATATTTTTGGGATTCATCTATATTGTATTATCAGTCACTGTTATAGATTGAATATGGAATATCCCCCCCAAATTCATGTTATGAAGAGTTGATCTGCAATGCAAAGCTCAGAAGTGGGGCTTTTGGGAAATGATTGGCTCCTCAGGGCTCTGACCTAATCAGTGGATTAATTCATTGATGGATTCATAATCTGATGGCTTTTTTGGGAGGTGGCAGAAACTAGGAGGTGGGGCCTGGTTGGAGAAAATGGGTCACTAGGAGGTATGCCTCTGAAGGGCATACCTTGTCTCTAGTCCCTTCCTGTTTCTCCTGGCTGCCATGAGGAAGCTGCTTTCCTCTGCTATTCCCTGCTGCCATTATGTTCTCCCTCATATTTCAGTTCCATAGTAATGGAGCCAGTCAACCATAGACTGAAACCTCTGAAACTGAGTCAAACTAAATCTTTCCTACAATAATCTGTTTCTCTTGGTTATTTGTCACGGTGACGAAAAGTCTAAATAGTATAGTTCTTCTTTCCTTTTTATTGCTAGCAACATTGTCTTAACATACAATAGTTTATTTAGCCATTTCCTCATTGATACATAGGGAGTTTCTAGTTGTTGGACCGTGTATAGGTTTTTCCTATTATAAATAAAGCTTTTTCCGACATTTTTGTACAAGTTTCATGTAGACTTGTGCTATTCTTTCTTAGGTAAAATACCTAAGAGTAGTATTATATGTTTAGTTTTTAAAGAAACTACCTGTGTAAGTCAGCTTTACACTGAAACAAGTTCCTGAGATAATCAACTTATAAAAACAGGTTTATTTTGGCTCACAGTTTTGGAGGTTTCATTTCAGAATTGTTGAGCTCCATTTGCTTTGGGCCTGTTGAAAGGTAGTACATCTTGATGGGAGTAGATAGTAGAGCAAACCAGTCACCTCATTTCATGACTAGGAAGTGAAAGGAAGTATGAGTAAGGGTTGGAGTTCCACTATTCCCTTTGTAGACATGATACAAAGACCTCTGACTAGGACACACATCTTAAAGTTGCTACCACCTCTAAGGAGCAGGACTCGGGAAGCAAGCATTTAAAGTATGAACCTCTGGGGACACTTATCCAAACCATAGCACTATCTGACCTATTTTTCAAAGTAGTTTTTTACCATTTTATATTCCTATCAACAGAGAATGAGAGTTCTAGTTGCTCCTTATAAAATTTGGTAGCATCAGCACATTTTTATTTTATTCTGATGAATATGTTGTAGCTCATGGTTTTAGCTTGCATTCTTTTTTATTTATTCATATGTGCATACATTCTTTGGGCCAGTTCTTCCTGCCCCACCCTCCGTGCCCCATCACCCACCCCTCCCATCCTCTCCCATCCCACTTGCTTCTAGGCAGAATCTGTTCTGCCCTCTTCTCCAATTTTGTTGAACAGAGGACATAAACAATAATAAGAAAGACATAGCTAGCTATTTATTTGCTAGTTTGAGATAAGGATAGCTATACAGAGAGATTCCTAGCATTGCTTCCATGCACATGTGTATTACAACCCAAATTGGTTCATCTCTACCAGACCTGTTCACTGCTTCCCTAGTGACCTCTTGTCAGTTTAAGATTACTATATTAGCTCCTCTGCAGTGGGTGTTTCAAGTTTTGGGTTTCCTACCTTTCCTATTCCTGCTGTATGTGTTCTCCCCTTAGCTTGGGACCCATGTCTAATAATATTACTGCATTTGTTTTATGTCTAAAGTCTGCATATGAGGGAGAACATAATGATTTTTGGCCTTCTGAGCCTGGCTAACTTTGCTTAAGATGATGTTCTCCGGTTCCATCCATTTACTAGAGAATGATAAGATTTCATTCTTCTTCATGGCTGATAAAATTCCATTGTGTATAAATACCACATTATCTTAAGCCATTTGTCAGTAGTGGGGCATCACGGCAGTTTTCATAACTTGGCTATTGTGAATAGCATTGTAATAAGCATGGGTGTGCAGTTACCTCTGCAGTAACTTGAGTCGCATTATTTGCATATATTCCTAGGAGTGGGACTGCTGGATCATATGGCAGATCTATGTTTAGTTTTTTAAGAAGTCTCCATGTTGTTTTCCAGAGTGATTGTACTAGCTTACATTTCCACCTGCAGTGTATGAGGGTTCCTTTTTCCCTACATCCTCCCCAACATTTGTTGTTGTTGGTGTTTTATTTATTTATTTACTTATTATTCATATGTGCACACAATGCTTGGGTCATTTCTCCCCCCTCTCCCCACCCCCTCCCTTATTACCCACCTCACCTCCTCCCTCTCCCCCCTACCCCCTTGATACCCGGAAGAAACTATTTTGCCCTTATCTCTAATTTTATTCAAGAGAGAGTATAATCAATAATAGGAAGGAACAAGGGTTTCTGCTAGTTGTGATAAGGATAGTTATACATGTGTGTTACCTTCTATGTTAATTCTTCTTGATCTAACCTTTTCTCTGTTCCTGGTCCCCTTTTCCTATTGGCCTCAGTTGCTTTTAAGGTATCTGCTTTAGTTTCTCTGCATTGAGGGCAACAAATGCTAGCTAATTTTTTAGGTGTCTTACCTATCCTCATGATACTGATGGTGTCTTATTTGATATCTTATTCGGAATGAATTAAATAGTAGTTGGAATCTAAACCTTCTGTCTTCCAGTGCATAACCAATAAAATTTCTTTTTTTCTTTTTCATCTTCAGAATAAGAAAAATATGGTCTTCTGTGCTAATAAGAAAGAGTCACTAACAGTATTATTTTTCTTAACTACTTTGGTTGTTTGGGATAATTCTTGTTTTTGTAGATGCATTTTGCGTAGAAACATTTGCCATTTTCTGCCAACTGGGTGGGTGCATCACAAAATGAAGAATTTTTCTTGGACCTTTTTTGGCAATATGTTTCATAGCAAAGTCAGTCTTTTGACACATTAGCTTTTTTTTTTTGGTGAGGTAGATTGTTTTGTTTTTTTATGTGCAGTTCAGAAACTATTGTCCACTTATCCTACAGAAAGATATTGACAAAGTACAACATAAAGAACCTTGAGAGTGGTAATACTAAACTATTGATTGTAAGCAGTAATAATCCATGTATGTTTTGTTAATAGCTTTTATTAGAAATACGTAGCAGGAAAACTTTTTAAGGAATTTTCATTTCTCTAGTTTTCTTAGTTAAATCCTCTTGATTTACTTAACATTCCTTTATTTTGATTGATAGGTGCTGAAGATGAAGCAAGAATAGATATGCAATATGCTGCTCAGTACAAAGGCCAAGACTCATATTTACAACAGGTTGATGAGCAGCCACAGGGATGGGTATCCTGGGCCTGGTCATTTGTGCCTGCAATTGTGAGTTATGATGATAGTGAGGAAGACTACCTTGGGAGTGATTCTGCATCAACCATGCATCAGCAAAAAGCACAGACTTTGAAGGATCCTATTGTTTCTGTGGGATTTTACTGTACAAAGGCCACTGTGACTTTCAAAGTAGGTCTCCTTTCTTTTGCTGCTAATATCTGTCTACTTTAATACTTTAAATTTGATTCTTAGTAAGATTCTGGCTGAACTAAAAGATTGTTTTTGTACTTAGCCGACATAACATAGTTCTAACAATTCTTCGTAAAATTACATCATTCCTCCAGATGAGTTCTTTGCATTTTGCTTCATTCCTGTCCTCTTCATTTTTATTGATGGGAGGGGCAGTACTAAGTTTTGAACTCAGGACTTTGCGCTTGGTAGGTAGGTGCTTTACCACATAAGCCAGGCACCCAACCTTTTTGCTTTATGTATTTTTTTTGAGTAGCTCTCACATTTAAACCTAGTCTGGCTTGCAGCGTGACCCTTCAATTTATGCTTCCTTCATAGCTGGGAAGACAGGAGTATGCCACACCATGCCCAGCTTTTATTGATTGAGATCGGGATCTCAGGAACTTTTTCCCAGGTTTTCTTGAACCATGGTCCTCTGATCCCTGCCCCCTGAGTAGCTAGGATTAGAGTTGTGAGCCCCTGTGCTTGGCCTGATTCCTCCTTATCTTCTAGATAAGGCTGTCTCCACTTTTTTTTTTAATTGGCTTCATGGACATTTTTTTTTGGTCCCTTGTCATATAAATATGTTTAATATTTCCAGTAGAGAAATGCACATCAAAAATTCTCCGTTGAATTCATGTATTACTATAGTTACTATTTTATTTCTGTGATCATAACAAAATTTATTGACGTGTTAATTATATATGAATGAAGTTCAGTGTGATATTTCCAGTCATTCATATAGCATGCACCAATCGCATTCAACCACTCTTTATTCCTCACATCTTCCCATAAATTTCTCAACCTCTAGCAACCACTGTTCTACTTTCAGGTTCAGTTTTTTAGTTTCCACATGTGAGGGAGAACATGTAGTGCTTGTCTTTTTCTAACTGGCTTGTTTCACTTAGTATAATGTCCTCCAGTACCATCTATATTGCTGCAAATGGCTGTATTTCTTTATTTTTAAGGGTCAAATAATATTCCATTGTGTATATATACTACTGCTTTTTAAAAAAATTTATTCGCTCACCTGTTTATGGGCACTCAACTGATCTGAACAATTGTGGATAGTGCCACAATACGTATGCAGGTATCTCTTTAGTATGCTGAGTTAATTTTTTTTGAATATATACCTTAAGTGGGATAGTTGAATCATATGGTAGATGTAATTTTAATTTTTGAGGAACCTCCATATTGTTCTCCATCATGCCTGTATTAATTTACATTCTCATCCACAGTATATAAGAATTCCTGTTTCCTTCATACCTTTATTAGCATTTTGTAACATAATTTCTCTAAATGGCCTGTTATATATAATTTCTTTCTTTTGTCACCTGTTTTTCACTCTTTAAGACAATCTAATTTCTTATTTAGGTCCTTTCCTGACTCTATTTTCAGTGTTATATAACATACTTTGATCATTTCTATTAAAATGCTTGTAAAATATATTTTTAAAATAGATCATATAAAGTACATATTCAGAAAGAATAGTAAAATGAATATTGCTTTACTTAAAAAATATAAAGTACTAGTACTTTATGATTAAAATTGGCATTTTCTCTGTTTCTGTTTACTGGCTGCTCTGATACGAGATGCTCTGTTTTACCATGCTCTCCCATGACAATGAATTGAAATCTCTGAAACCATTAGCTAAAATAATCATTCCTCTGACAGTTATTTTTCCTAGGCATTAGTAACAGTGATGGCAAGTCTGACTAAAGCCATGATATCTGAAGAATCTTAGTTGGAATTGGTTAAATGCAAATGGGATGACAGTTGGGAGTGTAAAATGATACATTCACTGTGGAATATAGTTTGGCAGTTCCTCAAAATGTTAAATAAAACTTCTGTATAATGTAGCAGTCTTCTCTTGGAAACAGTTGAAATATTTATCAATGGATGAATGAATAAATTGTGTTAAATACATGTGATGGAATATTATTCAGCCATAAAAAGAATAAACTTCTGATATGTGCTAGAAAACTTTTGCTAAGTGAAATAAGCAAGGCATAAAAGGGCAAATATTGTATGATTATAGTTAATTAAGTATTTAGAACAGGAAAATTCACAGTGACACAGTATAGAATAGAGTTCCAGAGTCTTGGAGGATTAGAGTAGGGGTTTGTGCCTAATGCATGGGATGTTGTTAAAGTTGTGGAAATAGGCAGTGGGGATTATTGTACAACACTGTTTACTTAGTACCACTGAGTTTTACACTGATAAATAGATAAAATGGTAAATTTTGTAATTTTTCCATGCAAAACTATACATATAAAATGCAAATGGGAGTATAGAAATTAATGAAACAGAAGACTCTTTAAAAAAGTTTTGTTAAAAAGGGAATTATAGAAATGGGGAGACAAAAAACTGGTTGGGAAAGTGGTGTTCAAAGCCTTTTTTAAAGATGAGGTAGTTGTGAAATGCTTTTTTGGTGATACTAGTGATCTAGTAGAGAGGAGAAAATTGATGTAGGCAGAGGGGTTTATAGGGGTTAGTTATGTGTAGTTAATAGTGTTGGCACGTTTTGTAGGACTGTTCATTAAGGAGATTGGCCTATAGTTCTTTTTGGAAGTGTCTTTGGCTGGTTTTGGGATGAGTGTAATACTGGCTTCATAAAATGTGTTAGGCAGTTTTCCTTCCCTTTCTATTACATGGACCAGTCTAAGGAAGGTTGGTATCAGTTCTTCTTTAAAGGTCAGATAGAATTCAGCAGAGAATCCATCAGGTCCTTGACTTTTCTTTTTTGGGAGACTCTTGATTGCTGCTTCAATCTCATTTTGTGTTATAGATCTATTCAGGTGATTAATGTCCTCTTGGTTCAGTTTTGGATGATCATAAGTATCTAGAAATCTGTCCATTTCTTTAAGATTTTCAAATTTATTTGAATATAGGTTCTCAAAGTAGTCTCTGATGATTTCCTGGACTTCGATGGTGTTTGTTGTTATCTCCCCTTTGCATTCCTCATTTTACTGATTTGGGTATTTTCTCTCCTCATTTTAGTCAGGTTTGCCAGGGGTCTATCGATCTTGTTTATTTTTTCAAAGAACCAACTTTTTGTTTCATTAATTCTTTGTGTGTTTTTTTTGGTTTCTATTTTGTTGATTTCAGCTCTTATTTTTATTATTTCTCTCATATTTGTCTTGGGCTTTGCTTGTTCTTGTTTTTCTAGGAGTTTGAGCTGTAGCATTGGGTCATTGATTTGAGATCTTTCAGTCTTTTTAATATATGCACTCATGGTTATAAACTTTCCTCTGAGGACTGCCTTTGCTGTGTCCCATAGGTTCCAGTAGGTTCTGTTTTCATTTTCATTGATTACAGGAACTTTTTAATTTCCTCTTTTATTTCATCGATGACCCATTGTTCATTAAGCAATGAGTTATTCAGTTTCCAGCTGTTTGCATGTTTTTTGTCTTTATTTTTGTTGAGTTCTAGTTTTATTGCATTGTGATCAATTAGAATGCATGGTATGATTTCTGTTTTCTTATATTTGCTGAGGCTTGCTTTGTGCCCTAGGATATGATCTATTTTGGAGAAGGTTCCATGGGCTGCTGAGAAGAATGTATACTGTGTAGAAGTTGGGTGAAATGTTCTGTAGGCATCAACTAGATCCATTTGATCTATGGTATATTTTAGATCTAGGACTTCTTTATTGATTTTTTGTTTGGATGACCTATCTATTGATGATAATGGGGTGTTAAAGTCTCCCACGACCTTTGTGTTGGAGTTAATATATGCTTTTAGGTTCTTTAGGGTATGTTTGATGAAATTGGGTGTGTTGACATTGGGTGCATATAGGTTGATAATTGTTATTTCCTTTTGGTCTATTTCCCCTCTTATTAGTATGTAATGTCCTTCTTCATCTCGTTTGATCAATGTAGGTTTGAAGTCTACTTTGTCAGAGATAAGTATTGCTACTCCTGCTTTTATTCGGGGGCCATTGGCTTGATAAATCTTCTTCCAGCCTTTTCTCCTAAGCCTATGCTTATTTCTGTCAATGAGATGGGTCTTCTGTAAGCAACAAATTGTTGGATCTTCCTTTTTAATCCATTTCGTCAAGCAGTGCCTTTTATGGGGGAATTAAGTCCGTTAACATTAACGTATTAGTACTGATAGGTATTTGGTGATTCTTGTCATTTAGTTTTCTTAGTTGTTTGAAGGTTTGATTATGTGTAGCTAATTTGAGGTTACTCCCTACTTTCTTGCTTTTTCTTTTCTTGTAGTTTGGTGCTGCCTGTTCTTTCATGGTTATGTTGGGTTTCAGTTTATGTGTGCAGAATCTCTTGAAGAATCTTTTGTAGTGGTGGCTTTGTGGTCACATACTGTTTTAGTTTCTGCTTATCATGGAAGACTTTTATTGCTCCATCTATTTTGAATGATCGTTTTGCTGGGTAGAGTATCCTGGGGTTGAAGTTATTTTCATTCAGTGCCCGGAAAATCCCACCCCAAGCTCTTCTTGCTTTCAATGTTGAGAAGTCTGGTGTGATTTTGATGGGTTTACCTTTGTATGTTATTTGCTTTTTCTCTCTTACAGCCTTCAGTATTCTTTCTCGGGTCTCTGTACTTGTTGTTTTAATGATAATATGCTGTGGGGTAGTTCTATTTTGATCTGGTCTGTTTGGTGTTCTGGAGGCTCCTTGCATCTGTGTGGGAATGGATTTCTCTAGATTTGGGAAATTTTCTGTTATCATCATTTTGTTGAATATGTTACGCATTCCCTTTGCTTGTACCTCTTCTCCTTCTTCATTGCCCATGATTCTCAGGTTTGGTCTTTTGATGGAGTTGGTGAGTTCATGCATTTTCTTTTCACAGGTCTTGTGTTGTTTAACTAATAGTTCTTCAGCTTTTCCTTTAATTACCATTTCATCTTCGAGTTCTGAGAATCTGTCTTCTGTTTTTCTATTCTGCTGGATTGGCCTTTTGTTTTGTTTTTATTTCTGTTGCATTCTTTTTTTCTGAGGTTTTCCATATCCCAAGTTTCTTCCTCTTTAATGTTGTCTATTTTTGTCCTGAGTTCATTTATCTCTTTATTAATCATGTTCTTTGTTTAACTTTGCTGTTTATACAGTGCTTCTATGCTTTCTTTTATTTCTTCTTGTGCTTTCTCAAATTCTCTGTCTTTGTTGTCTTGGAATTTCTTGAGTGTCTTCTGTACATTTTGGTTGACCATATCCAGTATCATCTCTATAACATTCTCATTGATTATTTGTAGGATTTCTTCTTTCAGGTCATTCTTTTGGGCTTCATTGGGTTCTTTGGCACAATTTATCTTCGTTTTTTTTGAGTCTGGATCTGAGTATTTGTTTTCTTCATTTCCCTCTGGTTCTTGTACTAATGTTTTTCTGTTGGGAAACTGGTTTCCCTGTTTTTTCTGTCTTCCTATCATTGACCTTATTATTGTTATTGTCTTTTTACTGTGTGCAATTTTGTGTTTTCTAGCTTGTAATAATAGCAATCATATTTAGAGTGGAAGGGTGACAGAAGGAAAGCAAAGCAGGTAAAGAAAAAGGGAAAAACAAATTAACAAGTAAAAACAAACAAAAATTGTCAAAGATATAAACAGGGAGAGATAGTGTACTAATCAACAGTAAGCTAAACAGGCATTAGAGAGACAGAGGAATGAAAAAATAATCTCCAAGTTCAAATGCAATAAAGTTTCATTCTTAATTATTTTGGTGTTAGTCCCCCCACTTCCAATCCTGGAGATGGTGTCTCAGAAGTAGTTCTGGTGTTGTCTCTTCAAAGGGGAAAAAAAGCAAGAAAAACCAAAACACTACAAAGTGTCCCAAGTTCAAATGCAATACAATTTCAGTAAGTTTTTCAGCATGGAGGTGTAGTTCGGTTGTTGTCTCATCAAAGGAAGAGAGAAAAAAAAAAAGAGTCTGGAGACAGGTTTGTGAATGTCTTTCTGAGGCTGCGGCTCACCTGGCAGCTGCTCTCAGCCAGCTCTTGCTGTAGGCTTTATTTATCTATGTTTATTTAGAGTTCTCCTGAGCGGGACTGCCACTGTTACAAGCTTTCCCCTTTCCAAGCACAGTGGGGTCGGTGGCACTACACCCACCTTCGGCCAGGGTGTTTATTTACAGTTCACGTGGAAAGTGGCCCTTCCCCCCTCTCCTGTGGAGACTTCCTCCCACTGCCACTTTTATAAGCTTTCCCACTCCTGGTTGCTGGGCATTGACGAATATTATACATCCATTTCACAGGAATAAGAATAACTAAATCATTGGCAAATAGGCAGACCCCATTAATTTTTGTTGTTGTTTTTAGGTGCTGGGGATTGAACCCAGGGCCTCTGGCATTCTAAGTAAGCACTCTATTCTTGAGCTGCATGTGCAGCCTTCAGCAGTTTTTACAAATAGTCTTTTTATTTTGGAGAATTTTACCATTCCAGAAAACTTGCAGAGATAGCATAAAGAGTTACAGTCTTTACCTAATTTCTCCCATTGTTAAGCTATCATGGTGCATTTGCCAAACTAAGAAGCCAAGACTGATGCATTACTGGTAAATTCCAGTCTTTAATCGATTAATGTTCTTTTTTCTGTCCCGTGATCTAAATTGGGATGCCACATTGCATTTGGAGAAGTACATTTAAATAAGTTACCTAAATTTTGATATATATAAACAATACATTGGAATCTTCTGGGGAACAATTTTTTTCCTTTTGTCACTGTCTACATTAATTCTTGTTATCTAGCAGGCACTCAGTAAGTATTTATTGCATCACTGAATTAGTGTATGAGATATTTTGACGATGAACATTGGTGATTCTACCTCCCTTATAGGAACTACAACGTTTTGTTGTATCTACTTGTGTTTTTTTTCTCAGCTTTCTTTTAAAATTAGAATTAGTGTGGAGTCTTGGAACTGGCTGAATCTAAACATAATTGAATATGTTAGTGAAAATACACTGAATTTAGGTTATAAGAGGTGTAAAATTTTGGCAGAATATATGAGCCATTTTATCAGTGGGATTCTTATTGCACATAGCTTTCACTTTTTCAATCAGTAAGGAGTTTTAAAAAGTGGCATTTAAATAAGTTTAGACTAGCAAATTCAACCTCAATTCCATGGATAATCTGTTACAGCTGTTTTTGTTGCACCTGTTTTCCTGTTTAATCATTAAATTTCCTGAATCTTAAAATTGGCCTTGTTTTTATCAATTCATCATAATAATGACAACTTTTTTCCATGTAAGGCTAGTTTTGATTTATTTAATATTCTTATATTTCTTAGATTACCGAAATGCAAGCCGAGAGTAGCTATTATAGCCCACAGAAAGTAAAATCTAAAGAAGTATTGTGTTGGGAACAAGAAGGAACTACAATTGAGGTAATAAGTCAACATTAAACACATATTTTTCAATTTTGAGGGTTTTTAAAGTTAATGTGTATCAGTAACCCAGGCTTTTAATCATAGTATACTTTATTTAAATTTATAGTTTTCATATTTCTATTTTAGTTAGTAGTATTGGTTAAAACAATCCTTTAACAAAATACTTTGCTGTAATATGCAACATGAATTTATTCTTTCATTTAACATTCTTTGATTAACTTGTACATATGTGTAGATGCCTAGCTGTGTATTAATGTTCATGAAGGGGCAGTCTACACAGAGGCAACCAAGCTGTTTCTTTAATAGTGTTTATGATATGAGGAGAATATGTTTGGAAAGGCCATAATCCTAAAGAATAATTCAGAAATTCTACAGGGAAAGCATGTATAACATTTTTGATAAATTCAAGTTCTTAGTTCTAATGTTCCCCTTTTTCTTATAGGCCCTTATGATGGGAGAGCCTTTCTTTGACTGCCAGATTGGGTTTGTAGGTTGTAGAGCCATGTGTCTTAAAGCAATTATGGGTGTTAAAGATTTTGAAGAGAATATGTCTAGAAGTGAAAGTGTAAGTCAAAATTTCTTTTCTCTCCTACTTTTTTGAATAGGATGCAGAGATAATGAAGTGTTTAACCATATAAAATCTGGTAGAATACATGTGAAAGGAGAGCTTTACTATTTTCCTGTGCATTTCCCATGCAAGAAATTATAGAACTCAAGGGAATTTAAAATGTTGGTAGCACGTAACACCTGGACGGTAGTTCCAAATGCTTTCCAATTCATAAATGTTTCTTTTTTTCTTGCTCATGGCAGTTAGTTGGAGTTCCCTTTCGGTTTGTGAAAATGTTCTTTGCCAAAAATAGGCAGTAAAAATGGAGAAATAGAGATAGTATTCCTTCTCTATTTAGTTTTAGCAATTTCTGTTGACTACTAATGGGTGTTATAAATCCAACTTTTTTTTTTTAAACAACTTAATGATTTTTCCTCCTGTTCAAAAATTTTACATTGGTTTTCAGGAAGCCTGCTTCTTTATTTGTGGTGATAATTTGAGTGCGAAAGGTTTGACATACCTTACGAATTCATTGTTTGATTATCGAAGCCCAGAAAATAATGGTACTCGTGCAGACTTTATTTTGGATGAAGCTCATCATAAGGTCAGAGAATATATATTTGAGTCAAATTTTAGTCTGCAGTTGAGTGGACACATGTGTGAATCAGTGTAATTGTAATTTTTCTTCTCACATAATACCTTCTAAGTGCTATTTTGCAACATTTAAAATGCTTTTCTCCAGGCTCTACATCTAAGGAAGGCTTAAAACATGCAGAGATGTTTAGCTTAATACACTCTATAACCGTAGTTTATTTGTTTACCCATGTCCTGATGTTAAAATATCATGGAGGAAACAAGTATTACCTTTTAGGTTTTGTTACCCCTGGAGTGTAAGATTGATAGAAAGAAATGTTTTTTGCTGTGTACATTTTTTAGTGTTATTTGAATTTTTCATGTATTAGAATATTAATTTTTATGGAATATTAATAAATGTATGGAATGTGTTTAAAAATCCAAAAAAGTTACCTGAAGATTAATGTATAAATAGTTCACATTTTAACCTTTTCACTGAGTTTTACTTTCACATTAAAAATTTAATGTTGGCCTTCATAATTAGCATATATTTAGAATGTTTTAGTGTATCTTTAGTGTTTGAACTGTTTGATACAAGTGTACTGAAACATCTAAGGACTATTTGAGAGTATACATTATTAGACAGTTTTGTGATTGTGTTAAAAGGTCAAGCGTGTACTATCTACTCCATTAAAGTTATTCATTAACTAGACATTATTGATAAAGTGGTCAAAATGTCTAGTAGAATTATGGGTGTCCTTTTGTGTGGTCTGTATTAGAAGTAACATTACCTTTCTTAGAGGCGAATTCTTAGGATAACCTTTATCCTTTTGTTTTGGTAATCTTTCGAGTTGATACTGTCTATAAGGATATGTATCTGTTAAGTTCCTTCTGTACAACATTCTGTTTGCATTGCTTTGTTGTCAGGAGACATACACTGAGATAGCTGGAATGCAAAGGTTTGGAGCTTTTTACATGGATTACCTGTATACAGTGGAGAACACCAGTGGCAAAGGTACTGGTTTCTCTTTCCTTTATGTTTGCCTTTCCTCAAACAGCAGAAACAAAGGCATCTTCAGAGTCAACTGGCTCCTGACTGGGTTGCACTATGTTATGTTATGTTATGTTAGAGTTACCTTCTTGTACTTTGGGGGATGGTTTTAATGTTACGTTAGAATTTTCTTCGATTCTTAAGTGTTTTCTTATACAGGTGACTGAAAAGACATTTAGCTAATTAGAATTAGTTCTCATAAGCATTAAATAATAATTTTTTTATGCATCAAATTTCATATTTCATTAAGTTGTCAAAAAAGAAAATTTTTGTATTAAATACATTTTGAAGTTATATAGATCTTTTTATTAAAAGACAGTTTGTTGTTTCAAGCAGAAAAGTAGAAACAAATTTCAGAGATTGCAGACACAGATTTTATTTTGTGAAGAACCAAATGACATTTTAAAAAGTTTTGCCATTTGATATTTTATGTGCACATTGATATATGATATGCTTATAATTTCATTCTTTTTTTATTGAGAAGATAGTGAAAATAAGTTCTATATTTTGTTTTTATTTTTCATATTAAAGTTAAGAATTTCTGCCACTTATGGAGATGGATGTCTGTAATCCTAGTACTTGGAATTTGGAGACAGGATGATTGCAAGTTTGAGGCAAGCTTGAGTTTGCATAGGAGACCCTATCGCAATAAAAGACAAGCGTCAGCGATGTAGTTCAGTGACAAGAGCATTTGTCTAGCATATGCAAGACCCTGGGTTCCATCCCCAGTGACACACACCCACACCCATACTCATACCCAACCACAATCCCCCCATTCATACACAAATTCCATGTGTTAGGTGATCATATTTTGAGTTACTGGTTTTGAGTTATTTGGTGGGTAGTGGTAAGCATATGGAAAGCTAGAATTGCCTGGCACAGTGGCCAACACCTATAATCCCAACTAGTTGAGAGGAGGAGATTGGATGTTTCTATTTCCAGGTCAGCCTGGGGGGAAAAATTAGTGAGATTCCCCATCTCATCCAATAGGCTGAATGTGGTGATGTGTGCCTGTGGTTCCAACTACTTGGAAGATCATAGGGAAGAGAATGGAGGCTGAGGCTGGCCTCAGGTAATCTGACCCTACCTGAAAAATAACTAAAGCAAAACAAGGCTGGGGGCCTGCAAAGCAAGGGTGAGACCCTGAGTTCAAACCCCAATACTGTAAAAAAGAAAAATAAAAAAGCTAGAATCAAGAAAGTAAGATTTTTGGAGTAAAGGAAGAATTTTCACAAAGTTACCTGTGGAAATAGAGGTGGAACTATTCCTTAGCTAATTAGATATATAAAGAACAACTCTGAAATGAAGTCTGTGTTCTAACTGCTTTGCACATTTAGAGTTTTACTTGCTAGTTGTAAGTTGACAGTTTTCTTCTTGTTCAGTAGAATGTCTTATACATTTACTATGGATTTGGTATTTTGGGAATAGGTGGAATATGAAGTAGTCACCTTTTTAAATTGTCATTGCCTTTTTTTTTTTTTTTTGAGATAGGTTAGAGTGTCCTGGAACTCCTGCCTCAGCTTCTGAGTGCTGGGATTATAGGAGCCATCTTTCTTAGTTAAATAAATAAATAGATAGATAGATAGACAGATGATAGATAGATAGACAGATAGATAGATAGATAGCAGAACTGGGGTTTGAACTCAGGGTCTACACCTTGAGCCACTCCACCAGCCCTTTCTTGTGAAGGGTTTTTCAAGATAGGGTCTGGTGAACTATTTACCCAGGCTGTCTTTGAACCTTGATCCTCCTGATCTCTGTCTCTTGAGTAGCTAGGATTACAGGTGTGAGCTGCTGGCAACTGGAAAGTAGTCCTCTTTCAAGTAAAAGAAACCAAGCCCTGAAAAAATTTGTTATTTACATATGTGCTGCTTCTGCAGCCTTTTTTTTTTTTTTTTTTTTCAGTACTGGGGCTTGAACTCAGGGTCTTCACCTTGAGCCACTCTACTAGCTCTATTTTTATGAAAGGTTTTAGAGATAGGGTCTTCGGAACTATTTGCCCAGGTTGGCTTCAAACCGTGATCTTCCCGATCTCTGCCTCCTGAGTAGCTAGGATTACAGGAGTGAGCCACCGGCACCTGGCTTCCTGCAGCTTTTAAAACATAGAAAAATGATTTATATTTGCTAGATTGTTTATTATCTCTTATTTTTCTGAGAAAGTGGTTGTTTAATTTTTAAATTTTTCATGTTTTCCACTGATGTGATAGTCTACAACATTATAGGTAGTTTAGTGCTTTTCTTTTTCAACAAAATGTTGACCTTAATATACATACAGGAAATTCTGTACATTTATGTATTGAATAGCAAAAATTATAAAGTGATCAGCTCTCTATTTCTCATACAAGCCAAGAAATAAGGCATTACTAGCATCTAGTGAGCCTGTCATGTTTATATGCTTATACATTTTCCTTTACTAGAAGACATGTTTTTTTTTTTGAGATTTGTAGCAATAACTTTTGATTTTGATTTGCTACTTATGCATCAATTTTCTTAACTTTTCAAGCCAACTTATTTTTTGAGAAATAATAAGCTTCTATTATTAATTTAACTTGTAAATATCACATGTACTTCTAAAAATTCATTCATTCATTTACTCAGTAATCTTTTCATTTATTCCATTCCTGTTCTTAGGTAGCTGTATTTAAATGCTTATGTATCTCATTGTGAACCTATATTAATTTTCAATGGATGGATGTGGTAATACTCATAGCTTATATTTATTGGTTTTAAATTCAAGGTTCTGTTGTAAGTGAATGTATTAAATTATTTAATTCCCATAACCTTTATGGTAAATGTGAATGATGTGACTTCTAATCTGAGTCAATGTTAATCATACATATTAGAAAATATGCATAAGATTAACTTTCTATGTTTTATTTAGCATTTAAGTCTGTGTTTGAATTTATAGATTTTTATTAACATTACATAGACAATTAAAAAGATTTCTGCCTATTGCATCATCTGTTTAATAATATATAAATAATTTTAATTTTTTCATGCTATTGACACTAAAGATTTAACTGTACTACTGTGTGTGAAAATTTTGTTAAATGTTTAATTAGCAGAATTTTCGTGCTTAATTAGGTGTCTCTAAGTTCTAAAGATAATTAAATGCTGGAAAGCCTTACTTTCCTTTTCTTTTGTTTGGATAAACAAAATGGCCAAGGATTAACAATTAACTTGTCTTAATTACATTTAATAGTGGACTTACATATTAAAACAAAATGTTTAATTCAAGAAGTGTACGGAGTAGATAATATGAGCCAAGATTTTCTAAGGATATTCCTCTCAAGTATCTGGGCAGATGAGGGATCAAAGATCTAGGATTCTACATCATTGAACATGGGCATAATAATTTTATTCTGCAAAAGGTTCAAAGCATCTAATATTTGTTTTGATGACCATTATAAAATTGCCAAGACACCCTATGGTCATGTAATTGTAGACAGTATAATTTTCAGTAAAAGATGAATTATAGCAAGATGTAATTGCCTTTAAAGTCTTCTTTCCCAAATAACATAATCGTACTTTTTTTTTCCAGTACTGGGATTCGAACTCAGGGGTTCACGCTTGGTAGGCAGCCACTACTCCAGCCCTAACATAATAGTACATTATGTACAATTATTTGATCTTTGTTCATTAGGTGTCACAGAATAAATTTCTAAGAATGATTACTTTGATTTTATAGCACTTGTTGTAATGTTAAATAGGTAACAGGAATAATTGGTTTTTGAGTCAATTGTTTTTGTCAGTATTTGCATGGAGAAAATGCAGTTTATCAGGGTTCACTGTTCTAGTTGGCTGAGAATTGATTGTAGAGCAGTAAGCTACACTCTAAGAAGATGAGAAAGAGTAATACAAAAATCTATTCTCTATCCTTAAGGAAGCAGAGGTAGGAGGATTGCAAGTTTGAGGCCAACCTGGGCTACATTATGAGCTCATGCCTCAAAAAACCAATGGGCAGGAAGTCAAGAGTGGTGGTGTTGGTTATAATCCAAGCATTCTGGTGGCTGAGGCAGAAGGATCTTGAGTTGAAGTTTGAAGCCAGCCTGGCTTATATAGGGAGACCCTGTCTCAAACGAAAAATAAACAAACCAAGGGGTGGGGAAGTGGTTCAGTGGTAGAGTGTTTGACTAGCATGCACAAAGCCCTGGGTTAAAAAAAATTTGTGTTTAATCTCTCAATCTCTCTCTCTCTCTCTCTCTCTGTCCCCCCTTCCCTCCTTCATCCATCCATCCATCTATCTAGTATAATCTGATTGATGCTTAAAATACTAATATAGAATATGACTTCTTTTAGGTTCTGCAAATCAACAAGACTTATCTTCAGGGAAAAATGAAGATTTGGGAACAGTCCAAGAGAAGTCAACCAAAAGCCTTGTTATAGGTCCTCTTGATTTTCGCTTGAATAGCAGTGCAGTTCATAGGATTTTGAAAATGATTGTTTGTGCTTTCGAACATGAATATGAACCATATAGCAGGCTAAAACCAGGTCTGTTTTTGGCTTCTTAATCTATTACCAGTTGATTTGAATAATTATACAATCCAGTTTGTCCAATTTTGCTGTCTTTCTCTCTTTAGTATATTTTGCTACTTAAGAAAACCTTTATATATTCAGTCTTCAGTTTAGAGAATGAACTTGTGTGCCAAAGTTTTAGGTGAGGTCAGGATTTGAAAATTATGTGCATAAGAATTTTACTTGGTAGCATTTATCAGTATTTGTCATATATTTTGATACTCTTTCCAGTGTATACTTGGGAAATAAAACAGTTCTTTTTTCACTTTAATGGATTCTAAGGAGTCACATAGTAATATGTGCTCCAAACATACAAATTTAATATTTATGAAAACTTGTGTATTACTCATAAAAAAGAACTTTTGTACAACTATTTTTTTCTATATGTTATGAACATCGTTTTTGCAGTTTTATGAAATACCATTTTATTTTTAATTCAATAAAGCAGCTCTCGAGTAGGTAGAACAGAATGGCATAATGAGGAATATAGGATAGTAGTTAAGAACTCAGCTATGAACTCTGACCCCCACTTCTCACTAAGTACAGGAAATTTGTATTGCTGCTTTTCCATTTCTCTTTCTCTACACTGAGGTAAATAATTATGATAAATGGGTAACTGTCTCCCCAATATCCATATTCTCTTATTTTATAATAATATAAATTTCTATAATAAAAATAAAGACTGTGTATCTCAGGTGTAGTCATATGGCCATGTTCTGAGTACTCGGATAGGAACTGAACATTGTGTGGGGATTTAGGAAAAGATCATGCCTGGCTTTCCCTCTCCCCTGCCTTCTGTGTTGAAAAAAAATGTAATTAGGAGTTGGAGCTGCAGTCTTAGACCCTGAGCTGAAAGTTGCATGCTAAGGATGATGGAATAACAAGGTAAAAAGAACCTAGATCCTCAGAACTGTGGTAGTACCATGTCAGACCTAGATCATTTAGACTCAGTGAACCTCTATTTTTCTTGAAGCTCCTATTTATTTTTGTCACAGCACCTTACTGTTATCCTAATGATGATCTTATAGAATCTATTTTCAAAGACTGTTGTGAGGTCTAAATGAGCTAGTGCATGTTAAAGCATGTAACACAGTGCCTAGTGCATACCCAATATTTAACATGTTCATGTATTTATTTTTATTGTACTTTACTTCAATGCCTAAACCATTCCAGACACTTTTCTGTGTGCTAGGATAGTATTGCAAACAAGACATAGAAACCCTCTGCCCTTATATCCTAGTGGGGCAGACAAATAGTAAGTAAGGTAGAAATATTATTTCAGACATTCTTCAGTGTTAGGAAAAAAGTAAAAGAAGGTGTGGGGGAAGAATGCTTTAGATAGGAAGGTGAGGATAGTTATCTCAGGAGAGTTTATATACGAGTTGACCCATGACTAATTGTCTTTGAAAAGGTTTTATGCACACAAGTACAAGCCTTGAGCTAGGAATATCTTGGCAATTTACAGGAAGAAAGGCAGGCTAGTATAGCATAGTAAATGTTGTAAAGTCAGAGAGGTAGACATAAATCATTCTGTCAGGCCTCAAGCACCAAGGAAAGTGTGGATTTGCACACTTGAAATCATTGGAAGATTTTGAGTTGGGAAGTTAATAAATTTCTATTTAATAGTTATTACTCATATTGACATACTTTATTTTTTTTTAAATTTAGATATTTCCCCAGTTATACCTGTGTTCTCATTTGTGTGTGTACATTAAGTTCTATACAGTTTTGTCTGTATAAGTTTGTGTGTTCATTATGACAGCGAAAATTGAACATGTCCAACATCATAAAGGTCCCTCATGTTGCCTTGTTAAAGCCACACCTACCTCCCTACCTTGTACCTCTGTCTTCTTTTAACCCTAAACTCTAGAAACCATTAATGTATTCCACTTTTAAAATTTGTCATTTTTAAGACATTAAACAAGTGTAATAATTTATTATGTAGGCTTTTGGGATAGGCTTATATTGCTAGGTATAATTCTTTGAAGAATTATCTAAGTTGTTGCTTGCATCAGCATTTTGTTTGTTTTCAGTGCTGAGTATTATTTCATTATATGCATGTCTTATAGTTTGTGAAATCATTCACCTGTTGAATCTTGAGTTTAATCTTGAGCTCTTACAAATGAAGTTGCTCTGAATAATTCTGTACTGATTTTTGTGTGGACATAAGATTTCGTTTCTTTGGGATAAATGCTCAAGTGTGCCATTGCTAGGTCATATGTTGGTTGTATGTTTAAGTATTTTTTAAAAATTATATTATTGTTGTACTGGAGGTACATTGTGACATTTTCCAAAGTTCTTACAGTATATCATAGATACAATAGATCTATCATTTAAAATGAATTCCCAAGCTCTTTTTGTATTCCTGTCAGTAACAAATGAGAAATTTGTTTTTCTCCATTCTCATTATTTGATATTGTCACAGTTTTTTATTTTTGCCACTGTGATAAGTGGGTGGTTTTAATTAGTAATCTGTAATCTCATTTTAAGTAGCATTTCCTTGTTGACTAATGATGTTGAACACTTCTTCATGTGCTTACTTACTGTTTTAATTTTTATTTCTCCTTCAGTGAAATATCTGTTCATGTCTCTTGCCTACTTTTAATTGGATTGTTTGTTTCTTTTACAACTTTTTTTTTTTGGTGGTACTGGGGTTTGAACTCAGAGCCTCATGCTTCCAAGGCACGCGCTCTTACCACTTGAGCTATTCCACCAACCTTCTTTTAGAACTATGGCACTTTTCATCTTGTATGTCAATCTGTGATTTGTTTACTTTTTCTTGATTTGTCTTTGTAATGGGTGAGTTTTAGCTAGAGAGTTATTTATTTGCCTTTGTATTTTTAATTGCGCCAGTAAACACCATTTCCTGACATAGCCATCTTACCAATATTTCATTGGTTATGCCCTTTTATCAAAAGTCAGTTTAGGACATGTGGTATTTGTCTTTCTGTTTTTGATTTGTGCTATTTCAACATGCACTATTCACTGATCAAATCAGGGTGATTAGCATTTTCTTCTCATCATTTCTTTATGTTTGGACCCTTCAAACTCCTTTCTTCTAGACTTTTCGTTAAATATGTAATAGTTTTTTGTGATCTCTGTCCATCCCTCTGCGCTGTGGAACACCGCCACTTATTCTTTCTACCTAACTATGTTTTGGTATTTCATTATCCAATCTCCCTTTATACATTCTCCCTCCATTCCCTGCCTCTAGAAATCCCTGTTTTATTTTTGAATTAAAAATAACCTCAATATAGAAGAAAGTTCACTATTACAGTGTATAATTTTAATCAGGAAGAAGGGAAACAAGAAAACAGTAGGTTCATAATTTCCTGTTAAAGACACAACTCTGTCATTCCAATGACTAGAATAGTGACATGCTCTCACACTTAGCTGCAAGGTAATCTGTAGAAGAAGTCCATATAACTGACATATATCCCGAAGGTTTTACCGACAAAGGAAAGAAGGAGGCAGTGAATACTCCAGAATAATTAGCAATTTTTCCTACAGTGGCATTATTCCATATATGTATAATTTTTATTTGAACTAGTTGGTCGTCTAAAAATGTGATGTATGTAAACTACTCACTGACATTAATTTAATGTATAGGCGGTTTTCATGTTGCGTAAGGGTTTGGGTCTATAAAAATATTTGTCTATGTAGTAGGTGTGGGGATGTGTGCCTGTAATCCCATTACTCAGGTGGTAGGGGCAGGAGGATTGTAAGTTAAGGGCTGGCCTTGAGCTACATAGTGAGAACCTGTCTCAAAAACAAACAGCAGCAGCAACAATAATAACTAAAAGAACTATGCAAATCAATCTTAATAATTAGTGGAAAAAAATAGAATTGCTCTACAGCTTTTGTCAGAACATGAAAATTTCTCTTACTATTAATTATAAAAGTATAGAAATGAAAAAGGAAAAGTAAAAATGCTTAAACTTTGAAGTTTTAAAAAATATTGAGTTGTTTAGACAGTTCTTGTATTAACTTACAATATGGAGCTTCTTTTTTTTTTTTTTTTTTTTTTTACAGTACTGGAGTTTGAATTCAGGACCTCACACATGTTAGGTAGGCAGTCTACCACTCGAGCTACTCTGCCAGGCCTGGAATGTCTTCCTTTTGTCTTGGCAAATTGTCATATTCCTTTCTAAGCTGGGATAAGATCCCAACACTTTACCCTACAAGTTTTGAGTATCTTGAAGTCAAGGGTGGTGGTACACACCTGTGATGGGAAGGTAGAGGCAGAAAGATTGCAAGTTTGAGGCCAACCTGGGCAATATTAGGGGGACCTTAACTAGTAGCAAAGTACAAACTAAAAATGGCTTTAGGGGGTGACGTTAGCCACTGTGCTTGACTTGTTTTTCTTTGCTTTTTATTGAAGTGTATATATCTGTAGGAAAGTACACAAAACCTAACGTCATAGTTCTATGAATATTGCAAGGTTAACCACATCTTTGTAAGTAGCTGTTCAAGAATTTAAAAACTTAACCATCCCTTCAGAAATACCTATTTTTGCCTCTTCTGGTTACTAACTATTCTGTCCTCAAGGATAATCACTGTCCTACTTCTTACATCATAGATTTGTTTTATTTTGTATTCCTATAAATGTAATTGTACAGTATGTGCTCCTTTGTCTCTGGCTTCATCTCATGTTTATGAGATTTATTTTTATTGCTGTGTAGGTTTCCACTGTATGGATATAGCTTATCCATTTTTATGTTGATGAGTATTTGATTAGTTTCTAGTTTTTTGCCATTTTCATCGTGAAGATACGCTGTAGTGCATGTGATTTGGTAAATATGTATACACATTTCTGCTGGATACCAAAGAGTGGATTTTAAAGTCAAAGGAGTACATAGATGTTCACTTTTAGTAGATATTTCCAAACTATCTTGAACCATTGAGCCATTTTATATTCCTGCCAGCAGTGTAGGAGACTTTCAGTTGCTACTGATCTAATTATGGCCTACTATCAGTTTTTGTACAGTCCATGTGCAAAAAATGGTTTTGATATTTAAAAAAATTTTTGATTTTATTTTTGAATTATCATACATTAGTAATACAAGGGGATTTCACTATAGTAATTCCATACATGTGTACAGTTTATGTTGAAGAAGTTCACTTTAAATGATTAAAAAAAAGAATTTTATTTTATGATACATGAAAATTACATGAAATTTAATTGAGTGTCCATATATTTAAAAATTTTTATTTGCAGTTTTGGGTCTGATAGATGCTAGGCATGTGCCACTGAGCTATGTCCCCAGCCCATAACTAAAGTTTTATTGGAATCTAGTCATGCTCATGTTATTTGGTTATGTCTTGTGTGTGGCTGCTTTTGTGCTTCAGTGGCACATTTGAGTAATTGTGACAGCCTATTATATGGCCCAGAAAACCTAAAATATTTTCTGTAAGGTTCTTCACAGAAGAACTTGATTGACTTTTGCTCTATATGCTTGCCAAAATGTAGTATTCTGTCTCATTCAAGTGGGTATATAGTTTTATCACATTGTGACTTTATTTTTAGACATCTGATGTCTCAACACTGTCGACTGGCTTTTGATATAACTTTTACTTATTTGGATATATCAACTTTTTTTTTAATTGTTGTATTATTCATATGTGCATACAATGCTTGGGTCATTTCTACCCCCTGCTCCCACCCCCTTGGATATATCAACTTTTGCTGAGTCAAATTTTTCCCACATTTATGTGCTGAATCGTTTAATGATTTTTTAGGAGGCATTTTGTATTCTAAAATATTTTATGAATACAAGTGTTTTATGGAGATCTGTGACTATATCTCTATGTCTATATATCTGAATATGGAAAATATTTTTTTTCCTAGTCTTTACATTATCTCAGTGGTGTTTTTATGACCAGATAGTTGTTATTTTTTAAAAGAAAAAGAAATGGAATTTCTTAAAAGATGTTTTAACATAAACTAGCTAATTTTCATTTAACAAAGATGTTTACATTTGTATTCTAGAGTGATTTATGCTTTATTCTGGAGTAACTTAGTTTGCAACTGTTTTGTTGTTGAGGAGCAAAACTGATTTTGGTATTCAGATTTGGGAAACTGGTTAAATTTTCAGTTGTGTAAGAAAATTATTTAAATAATTGTTCATTGAATTTTCATTGTAGAAATTAAGGATGAAAATGCAGTAGTACTGAAACCTGAAGAAGTAACTTCTCTGGAGGAATATATTCCTACTCGACATACAAGTGTTACTCTCCTCAAATGTACCTGCACAATTTTTATGGCTGAATTTAATTTACTAGACCGTTTGCTTCCTGTCATTTTGGGAGAAAAGGTATATTTTCAATTCATGACCTTTACCCCCTAATATAGGCATATTTTTCGTTATTAAGGAAAAGAATATCTGCTTATGTAGTTAAGCATGATGGAATAAAAGCATGTAAAATTTGATTGTTCATTGCTGTTTTTGAAAAGTATGTAAGCCATGGGTGTATAATGAAATGTTGGACAGTGTGGTCTTGAAACAAATGAGACCATATGTTGTGATAGTACCTTAGGCAGTTGCTTTGTCTCTCTAAGCCTTGTTTTCCTTTTCTGAAAAACAAAAGAAAATTAAATTTTTTAAAATAGGCTTACAGATTTAGTAATAAAGAAGCAATAGGCTTAGGTAAATTCAATTTGTTAGTTAACTTCCATAGTAAAAGCAAAATCAGTAATGATGTCAGCTTGCCTTGTCCCATAGGATAGCAGTGCAACCAAAAGGGACAAGTGACTTACAACTTGTGTGGTATGGCATCTGATTGGCAGGGATTCAGTCATACAGTCGCTAAGCTGTTATATAAGCCTCCAGTTACAATCTAAGAGGGTTAGGCAGAAAACCCCATACTTCACCTCACTGAGAAGCCCATGAGAAACTTTCTCATGGCAGTTTCCCTTCAGATGAGAAAGTGAATGAGAACTGGTCTTTTAGCAGCAACTTATATAACCTCTAACCATTGTCCTCTGATCTTAGCAGCATCACAGGATGTTCTGTTGTGGCTGAGTTTTACCTTTATGATGTGGATTTGTGACAGATTGTCTGGCTATTTGCACAGTAAAGTTTCCCTAGGATTATTTTGAATATTTAATGAGATAATGCATACAAACCATTTTTGCATGTTAGGAACCCAGTGATTACTGATATTTTTGATAATGAGGACTTCTTAGATGCTTAATATTTGTTCTTAGATTCTTTATATTTATGGTCCATATATAATGTATTGATTGCTTTTTGTGTTTGACATAGACATACAGAGCTTTTTTTGTTTTTAATTTAGTATTTTTTGTTGATTTTCTTTTGATGTCCACATGCTTACATAAATAAAAAGCTCCATAACAACTTAGGGAGTATGGCAGAGAATTGACTGAGGCATTAGTTTCATTTTGTGTATGATTTTGTGTATCATTATACATTTTGTGTATAATGATTAAGAATTATACTGAGATTAAGACGACTTCTTGTGGAGTGCAGGTGTGGCTCAAGTGGTAGAGTGCCCCCACAAAAAAAGACTTCATTTGGAGAAAGTTTCAATGGAGAAAATAGAATGCCAATATTTTGTATCATTTCTATTTTTGTTATCATGTAACTTTAAAAATACTTTATTTTTAGAGCAATTTTAGGTTCACATTAAAACTAAGTGGTTTTCTGTTCACACACACGCACTGCATTCTCCAGCCTCCAACTTTCCCCCAAAAGAGTGGTAAATTTGTTGTAATTGCTGAACCTGAGCCTATTGGCACATCTTTATCACCTAAACTTCCTAGATTATATTAGGGTTCACTCTTTTTTTTCTTTTTATTGTTGTGCTAGGCAGGGGCACATTGTGGCATTTACAAAAGTTCTTATAGCATATCAAATATACTTGAGTTCACCCTCTCCTTTATTCCCTTTGCCCCCATTCCTGCAATGGTATCAACAGGTATCATCTTTGCATTTACATACACCCTACTACCCATTTTTCCCACTGCCTCCCCCGTCCCACTGGTACCATTCAACCATGTAGGGTTCACTCTTGATCCTTGTTCTGTGGGTTTTGACAAGTGCATAATGCATGTAGCTTCCATACAATGTCACACAGAGTAGTTTCACTGCCCACAAAATCTTTTGTGACCCTTGTATTTATCCCTCCTCACAGACTGGATTTTTGTGAGTGTCTACATCACACTCTGTGGCATAGTTCACTTAGTTCCTTAATCAACTAAATGTGAATATAGGGAAAGGATATAAAAGATTGCTGGTTCTTGGATACCTAGAAATTTGTTTGGAACAATCGAGATTAACAAAATACTTCTATCATGCAGAGGCATTTAATAATACTGTTTCCAGTTGATTGAAAATATAAAAAGCATTAGCTAAAAGGGCAAAGATAGTTTTATAAAAACTATGCATTCTTTAAAGTCTGGGATATACTTAAAAATATGTAGAATACAGTCATATCTGGTTATGGCAAGAGAGTTCTGTACAAAAGGCATTTTTAGATTGATTTAATAAGTGTGCATGCCTCACTGTTCCACTCCTAAAATAAAAAGCGAATACTATTTTTTCCAGAACTCAAGTAGCTTCATGAACATTTCAAACTTCCAGTCTCTTCGGCCTTTGCCATCCATTCAGATATTGGTGGATAAAATTAATCTGGAACATTCAGTCCCCATGTACGCTGAGCAGTTGGTGCATGTGGTCAGCAGCCTCACTCAGCCTTCTGATAACTTGCTTCATTATTGCTATGTACACTGCTACCTTAAGGTATGGAAAGTGAATTTTCTTGTTTATTAGCATTCGTTTCACTTTGAATGTTTCAAATAAGTTTGTTTGTTGTTGGAGTCATAATTTCACAGAATTAGTACTCCATGGGAAAGATGAAAATAACTGTAAGATTTATTTATTCTGATATAATTTAAGTAAAATAAAAATGTACTTGTTTTCAAGATTTTTCTTCAGTTATTTAGGATTAGTAACTTGATGCTTGTAAGTTAATGGTAATTATAAATTTTGAAGATTTTATATATCATTGATGATTTTTATATGCATTGTAAAAGAACATTTAGTTTAATATGAATACTTTGAAAGAGCGTGATTTCTTTAACGGAAACTTGGGCCTGATGTGTTTAGTTACTTTTTTCACAGTGAGTTCATTTAAATTTCTTGATGCAAGGGAAAAGTCTTTTTTTATTATTTTAAATATATAGTTACAGGGGCTGGAGGTGTGGCTCAAGTGGTAGAGAATTTGCCTCACAGCATGAGGCCCTGTTTTCAAACTCCAGGACCACCAATACATACATACTTACGTGCATATATATAAATATACATATACATATATACATATATGCACGCATGTATATACATATATGCACGTATGTATGTATGTATGTATAGTCACATGACTTTAGTGACTGTAGTTATGTTAAAGGAATTATTGGAAGCTTTGACCAGTTCTTCCCCTTTTTTAAAAAATAAGTAATGTAGAAATAAGCATTGGCTTAGGGTGAAAGGCTGGAAGATTTACCAAGCCAATGGCCGCCAAAAACAGGCTGGAGTGAGTAGCAATACTTATCTCGGACAAAGTAGACTTCAAACCTACATTGATCAAATGAGATAAAGAAAGACATTCTGTACTAATAAAAGGGGAAATACACCAAAAGGAAGTAACAATTGTCAACCTATATGTATCCAATGTCAGTGCACCCAGTTTCATCAAACATACTCTGAAGGACCTAAAATCAATTATAGACTCCAACAAAGTGGTAGTGGGAGACTTTAATACCCCCTCTCCCCATCACCAATAGATAGGGCATCCAAACAAAAAAATCAATGAAGAAATTATAGAACAAAATCACACCATAGATCAAATGGACCTAGCTGATATCTACAGAATAGTTCATCCAACTTCCACACAATATACATTCTTCTCAGCAGCCCATGGAACTTTCTCCAAAATTGACCATATTTTAGGGCACAAAACAAGCCTCACCAAGTATAAAAAAATAGAAATAATCCCATGGATTCTTTCTGATCACAGTGCATTAAAACGAGAACTCAGCAACAAAAATAAGGACAAAAAACATGCAAACAGCTGGAAGCTGAACAAAACATTGCTCAATGATCAGTGGGTCATCAGTGAAATAGAGAAAATGAAAACATGCTGTACCACAACCTATGGGATGCAGCAAAGGCAGTCCTGAGAGGAAAGTTTATAGCCATGAGTGCATATATTAAAAAGGACAGAAAGATTTCAAATCAATGACCTAATGCTACAACTCAAACTCCTAGAAAAACAAGAATAAGCAAATCCCAAAACAAGCAGAAGGAGAGAAATAATGAAAATAAGGGCCAAAATCAATGAAATAGAAGCAAACAAACAAAAACCATACAAAGAATCAATGAAACAAAAAGCTGGTTCTTTGAAAAAATAAGATCAACAGACCCCTGGCAAAGCTGACTAAAGTGAGGAGAGAAAAAACCCAAATCAGTAAAATCAGAAATGCAAAAGTGGAGATAACAAACACCATGGAAATCATCAGAGACTGCTTTGAAAACCTATATTCTAATAAATTTGAAAATCTTGAAGAAATGCACAGATTTCTAGATACTTTTGACCATCCAAAATTGAACAAAGAGGACATTAATCACCTGAATAGTTCTATAACACAAAATGAAGCAGCAATCAAGAGTCTCCCAAAAAAGAAAAGTCCGGGACCTGATAGATTCTCTGCTGAATTCTCTCAGAACTTTAAAGAAGAACTAATACCAACCCTCCCTAAGCTTTTCCATGAAATATAAAGGGAAGGAGTAATGCCTAAGTCATTCTATGAAGCCAGTATTCCACTCATCCCCAAAACAGTCAAAGACACCTCCAAAAAGGAGAACTATAGGCCAATCTCCTGAATGAATATTGATGCAAAAATCTTCATAAAATAATGGCAAACCAAATCCAACAACACATCAGAGAGATCATTCACCACAACCAAGTCAGCTTCATTCCAGGGATGTAGGGGTGGTTCAACATATGCAAATCTATAAATGTAATACAGCACATTAATAGAAGCAATGACAAAAACCACTTGATCATCTCAATAGATGCAGAAAAAGCCTTTGACAGACATGAAGACCAGTGGAACAGAATAGAGGACCTGGATATCAGTCCACGCAACTATGCCCACCTTATTTTTGACAAAAGCGCTAAAAATATACGATGGAGAAAAGACAGCTCTTTAGCAAATGTTGTTGGGTAAAGTGATTATCCATCTGCAAAAAACTGAAACTAGATACATGTTTATCACCCTGTACTAGTATCAATTCAAAATGGATCAAGGACCTTCAAATCAGACCCGAAACTCTGAAGTTGGTATAGAAAGATCAGGAAACACTTTGGAATTAATAGGTATAGTCAAGGACTTCCTCTGTAGAACCCCAGCAGCTCAGCAACTAAGAGAAAGTATGGACAAATGCGACTTCATAAAACTAAAAAGCTTCTGCTCAACAAAAGAAATGGTCTCTAAACTGAAGAGACCACCCACAGAGTTGGAGAAAATATTTGCCAACTACACATCAGACAAAGGAGTGATAACCAGAATATATAGGGAACTCAAAAAACTAAACTCTCCCCAAAACAATGAACCAATAAAGAAATGGGCAAGTGAACTAAACAGAACTTTTTCAAAAGAAGAAATTCAAATAGCCAAAAAACACATGAAAAAATGCTCTCCATCCCTGTCCATAAAGGAAGTGCAAATCAAAACCACACTAAGATTTCACCTCACCCTCCATTAGAATAGCCATCATCAAAAAAACAACCAATAACAGGTGTTGGTGAGGATGTGGGGAAAAAGGAACCCTTGTACACTGCTGGTGGGATTGCAAGCTAGTGCAACCACTCTGGAAAAAAATTTGGAGGCTTCTTAAAAATGGAAACGTAGATCTACCATATGATCTAGCAATCCCACTCCTGTGGATATACACAAAGGAATGAGATACAGGTTACTCCAGAGGCACCTGCACACCCATGTTTATTGCAGTGCTATTCGCAGTAGCCAAGTTATGGAAACAGTCAAGATGCCACACTACTGACAAATGGATTAAGAACATAAATTTCACTGAGTCATGAAGAAGAATGAAATCTTACCATTGGCAAGTAAATGGATGTAACTGGAGAACATCATTCTGAGCAAGGTTAGGCAGGCTCAGAAGACCAAAAATTGTACTCCCTCATATGTGGACTTTAGATCCAGGGCAAATACAGCGTTGTGGTTGGCTTGGGTCACATGATAAGGGGAGAGTACATACAGGAGGTATGGGGATAGTTAAGAAACCCAAAACATGGAAGTATTTGATGTCCCCATTGCAGAGGAACTAATACAGAAACCTTAAAGCTACAGAGGTCAATATGAGAAGCGGATGAGGAAGTAGTGAAAAGGTCATTTAGAGATGAATCAACTTGGGATGTAACACATTTGTACATAGAAGCAATGCTAGGAATTTCTCTGTATAGTTATCCTTATTTCAACTAGCAAAAATGCTTTGTCTTACTGCTTATGTTTTCTCTTCAACACAATTAGAGATAAGGGCAGAGCAGGTTCTGCCTGGAAGTGAGGGGGGCTGGAGGGAAGAAAGAAGGGGTGGGGCTTATGGGAGAGAAACGGTCCAAACAATGTATGGGCATGTGAATAAATGAATAAAAAAGAAATGCATCTCAAATGATAAACTCAAATGTTGAGTTATAAATGTCCTTTCTAAGAAGATACAGGTATATAATTAAGTGGAGGCATTCAAATTCAGTTTTATCAACAAAGGGAAACCCCCAAAGCATTGAATTTTAGAATGAGGGGGCAGGGGGGGAAAGGGAGGGGGCAGAGTGGGTGGTAAGGGAGGGGGTGGGGGGAGAAATGACCCAAGCCTCGTATGCACATATGAATAAAAAAAAAAAAAGAATGAGAACTAAAGAGCATTAAATTTCTTTTTTTCTTTAATTGTTGTGCTGGTAGGGGTACATTGTGGCATTTACAAAGATTCTTATAATATATAAAATATATCAAACTTGAATTCACCCCTTCCATGAAGAGAATTACATTTCATACCAAGTATTAAAAGATTCAAGGACTTCACACATAGATCCCTGTCTGTAGGTCCATGGTTTATAGTTAAGTGTAAAATTGATAAGAATAAAATTAAAACTGAAAAAAAAATGTAAAAAAAAGAATTCCAGTCTTCGCATTAATAAATCAGTGTTTCAAAAAAAAAAAATCAGTGTTTCAAAAAAAGTACTCAATTACTGTAATTTGAATGTTGTCAACACAAAACTTGGGGAAACTTTTTCTCTTAAGTACATACGTAATCCTCAATTTTACGTATTCCACAAAGTGAAAATATTTACTCTGACCCATAAGACAAAAGTTTGCTTGCCCCTGTTATAGAGTATATATTGAAAATTGGCACAAATAATTAATACAGGAGATGTTTTTTCAAATTTGCTAAAGTAATTTATGAAATGACTGTATCAATTTGTATTCGTAACAGATGTATATGAAAAAACATGTCTTCCAAATCCCTATGGATTTGCTTGAAGTCAAAAATGACTGTATCCAAGGGGTTTCGATTCTGCAATAGCCTTCTTGACCTCTTTGAAGCATCTGTTGTAGTGGTAGCTGTAGTAAATCCTGATGAATAGCAAAGCCTTAGAGTTAGAATTTTTAGGGTACACTCACCTAACTTATTTTCAACATATGTTTCAAGTATCAGATTCCTTGCAG